ACAGTATTCTTTCTAAGTTTTGCCTCTTTACGCTGTAGATATGACTCACGGCGAAAAACATTGTAAATTAAAGTTATCGGCATTTTATGGTTTCGTCGAGGTGTCCGCTGACCAGTAAAATACTGTATCGTGTCCTAAAACACGTATTTCCGCGGTGTCATTTGCAACAAGGATGAATGAGGGTAAATTGATATTAGCCAAGCTCTTTCATCTCTTTTATCTTCCAAACATCCGGATACCATCCGAATACAACTCCGATCGAGTATTTTATTTTTATTTTTTTGCACCTACTGGCTTTCAAGTTTTGGTACATTTCGATTAAAAAGATTTCGAAAAACATACCGAACACACCGTTTTTAAACCAAAATTTGCATGTTCTTCGAACTGGAAAAATCAAAACATTAGCATTTGAAAAAAATTTTGTTTTTATTACGGAATGAAAGCCAGAATTCAGAAAGGGCGGTAAGATGGACAGATCTTTCCCGCTTGTCCTCTCCCGTAGCAAATCAGAACTCAAACTTTACTCCATCTTGTCTGTTCGTAGCGCCACCCTTCTAACAATTAGATTTATAAGCTCAAGATTTCAAAACTTAAAACGAGACAGGTTCTTGTCTTTATTAGCATTTAGTAGCCATCGCCACCTGTCCCCTTTGTATTTAGAGAATCAAGAAAGAACCCACTACCCAAGACTTAAAGTAATTTTTCAAAATAATACCTAGTAGCCTTGCTGTCGATATGATTTTCGTTACCCTTGTCGTTCGATAATCGATTTCACTAAAAAAATTCCGTGTTTGATGTATTTCTTTCACCGAACACAATCGAATTCAGTCGAAGGATTGCGGTAACGAAATTCGATCTGATCGAATGAGAGTTAGTTCGATCTGTTTTGTCGGAGATCATTATAGAGGGCCATAGCCAAGTAAAGTATTCGAATCACATTGAAAAGATTCAAATCTATCGATTTTTTTGGCAACACGAGGAGGTAGGGTGCTAGCAGACGCGAGGAAAAATATTGTTTTCAGGATAGGTCACGAGGAACCTTAAAAGATGTATGTAGACATGTATCTTACACTCTTAACTCCGTTCTTGTGACACGTCATCTCGTCTGCAGCTGCAGTTTGTCGAAATCGTGTTGTAATAAAATGACCAAGGAATTGAATTTAGTTGAATGGTGTAGCGAACTTTTTTCTACCTTACCCTCTGGAAGAAGCGAATCTTTTGCCAGTCTGTTGATGGATTCAAAGAATCTTTTCGAGGCTTTTCTTTTTCGATTCTTTTCCGGCATTCTTTAATTTTGTCAAAGGGTTTTTTCGAAAGTGCCTTAGTACGGAACTGAACCGGAGCTGTTGGGCTGGTGACTTGGAACTGTTTAACAAAGATCCCCCGCTGGACTTTAGGCCGAGTTTTCGACAAGAGAGGACATGCGCGCTAATTACCAAAGCGCCTTAAGATTTGCTTTCCATAGACACACCTCCCTTTCCTATTAGATTCACCATCCGACCTGGTCAGTGCTCTGTGCAACAAGTGATTTAAATAGCGAGTTACAATCGAGCCTCTTTAATTCCAAAAACCATGTGGAGGATTAACACAACGCTGGAGACGCTTAAGTGAAGCAGAAATAAGAACAAAGAGAGAACAAAGAAAAATGGATGAGTTACATCTTGGAATCCCAAATAGTAAAAAAATGATCTGTTGTTTCGCGGAATTTTCTCGAGTGCGGTCCTCAGTCGACCCTTCCGAGAAGGAGAGGCTAAACGCATGAATAGCAGACCATTTCTGTCGGAGTCCGTGACGCAATTGCTAAATTTTATTCACGTAGAACAGGTGGTTAGCAAAGCAAAATGAATTGTTGGTGGTTTTCAAGCAATTTTCAGCCGAACTGAACTTAAAAAAAAAAAAAAACCCTCAGTGACATTCCCTGAATCACAGAACAGCGAGCATCATCCACTACGCTAAGGGTCAACAAATCCTTTTAATGGTCGCTGTTTAGAATCAAACGCGTGCTTACGTATTTTACATCAGATATGAAAACGGATCGTCCAAAGGCCACGTAGAACGGGAGGCATACAGAACTGGTAAGGATGCCAAACGTAGCAAACTAAGCAAACGTTCAAACTGGGAAATGTTTCCACTGTTCGGTGGTTAACGAATACGAGCTGACTATAGCTGAGCTGATCAACTTCGCGGTCCACGCTATATTTCACAATAATTATTAATTATTATTAATTATTATCAAATATGTTTTGGGGTGGTTTAAAGCGGCAAATACCTTCGTAAGGATAGCGCCAGAAGTTCGCGCAAGATGGCCCCTCTCATTTTTAGAGTACGGTGCACGTGTGTTTTGGAACTGTTGCTAAAAGGATTGTGTTTGCCACTTAACCATCAAACACTGCGCTCAAAGATCTGCTCACGCCTGGGCTGTGGGCAGGAAGCAGAAGGAGTAATTATTCTTCCTCCTCTCGCCCCACATAGTGGTTGCCAAAACCTTTAAAACAGACCATAATTTGTGACAAGACCATATTCAAAAATCCAACAAAATCGGAAATGAAGTCGACTATAGGAAGACAACCCCCATCCCCCAAGTGCGTATGTTTAACATCAGAATTGCGAAATAGAGCCGGAAACTGCTCCTACAAGCGTTGTGTAATGGTATCAGAAAAAGAAAACAAAATAAAACAAAACGAAAAGACAAGCAAAGGTCTTTTAGATGCTGTTTAGAGGGAGGGACTTCCCGGATTACTTTATCTCTGTCTCGAGACATCGTTCTATGAAGGAAATGGTCAGAATCTTTCGTAATGCCGGAGAGCTATTACAAAAGGAAAAATATTAGTTTGTTTTTAATGTCATCGATAGTCCTGTTAGTTACGTACACGGATGTCAATCATCAAAAACCGTAACAGGAATAAAACATGAGTCGGTGTATAAGAAGGATTAATTGAATCGGAATGATAAAATATGCGTTTGTAAATTGCATCCGTTAGACTCATTCCATCATGAACAAGCGAGATTTTCTAGTAAAGCAAAGGTCAGGTGTTGTGGGGGAAAATATTTGTGTTATCCCAAAATGCGTTAATAGAACGCGATTTTCAAACATTTTTATAGCCTAAGATAAATGACAGGATTTCTTTTTTCTATGTTCTTGGTTAAACTGGATGTTACCGGATTTGAAATATTTTGAAGTATGCTTCTGAAAATAAGATTTCTTTAGGGACGGGTCATTATTTTTGCCTGGGGGAGGGAGGGTCGGAGGATTTTGGTTGTGTCACAGTAGAATTTACCTGATTCCCACAAAGGCTCTGTAGCTGTGGTGTTTTAACAGTTGCCCCTCATCGCCAGTAAATTTGCTATTGTTCCCCATTTATATTCTGTTAGTGACGACTAATGCCCCCCCTTCCCCCCTGGAAACCACGTGGGTATTCATTATGTGATCCCTTAAAATTCTCCGACGCCCCTCTCTCCCAGGAAATGCTTCAAGATGTAATAGCTAGGTCCCAGTCCTTTTTATAACCAGTGACTAAAAGTCTACGAAATTTTTTTTGGCAGTTAGTTTTTCGGTAAGATATTTGTCAACAGACTCAATCGAGCACGTCACTGGAGAAATAAATGAATCCATTTTGTCAATTATTAAAGTTGTTTATTTCGTCACTTAAATCATTTAATTTGCTACTAATTTTAATACGAAAAATAAGATTAGTCAGAGAGCATTTCAACTATTCGTCCCTCCCAGAATCGAGATATGGCGAGTCTGTTAAGTACATTATAGCCGGTGTAAACTAAATGACGACGTGTTTTTTTGTGCACCGATTTTCTGACAATGAAGAGTATTTAGGAAGCCAAAGAAATGATTCAGTGTTAATTTCGCGGAGACCTTAATTCATTCGCTGTAATATATGAGGTAAATTATCGAAGCCCACCAAGAAAAAAACGAAATTTTAGATATAGCGAAAAATGAACTAAGTCTGCTAATTGGATAATAATTTATTCCAAATGTGGAAAAACCCGTGAAGTTCAGATAAGGGTTCATACTGTCGCAGGCAACTGAAAAAAAGTGTTGGTTTTTTTTTTTTTTTTTTTTTTTTTTTTTTTTTTTTTTTTATGTCAAGTACGAATTATGTACCTCAGTTTGTAAATACAGTCAGTACTTCGTTGGTTCTCCATCTTCTCGAAAAAAATATTCAATTCCGTTAAAACGACTAAATTGTATTCCCTGTTTATCAAATCAGTGAATTTTGAAATAGATACGTTTTTATAATCAGTTACTCAGGTATCTTGAATGGACCTCTAACATTAATAATAAAAAAAATCATCTGTCATTTTTATCACTAGGCGTTAAACCAACAACCCTTTTTACATCAGTTGAGAATTTTGATGTAAAAAAATTTTTAAAATGTTGTCTTGTCAATCCATTTCTCGATTTTACTATTGTTTTGGACCCGTGGAAATCAGGATCGGCAAGAACATCACTACTAAAATTAAGGGGAGTCAAACATGTGCTTATCACGCAGGCCGCTTTGCATGCTTTAGTGCCGATGCTGTTTCATTGTTTTATTCTTGTCCAATATTCAACACAAAATTTCAATCTATTGATTAGCATTCTTAGAGTGGAGCGGTGCAATAAAATGTGTGAGATGTAATTAGCCACGAAAAATCAGTACTTAAAACATGTTAAAATGGGTCTTTCTTCCGGTCAACTCTTTGTTAGTCGCGCTGATCAAAGACTAGGTTCTCCCTAGCCTTTAACCCTCAGTGGGTGTGGATTTTGTAGTCAGTTGCAGCCTGTTGTCGGCCATAATGGTGTTCGAGGCTTGCTGCCTGAGCCAGGAGGAGGCCGAACAAAGGGCCAAATCTAAAAAAATAGACAAACAACTTGCCCAGGAGAAGGTACAGTACCGTCGTCAAGTCAAAGTCTTGCTTTTGGGCGCCGGGGAGAGCGGGAAAAGCACGTTCCTAAAGCAAATGCGCATCATTCATGGCAGGGATTTCGACAACGATGCATTGAATGAATTTCGCCCAATCATTTATGCTAACATCCTCAAGGGGATGAAAGTCCTAGCTGATGCCCGAAGGAAATTGAGGCTCGAATGGAGTGATGAGATGAACCAAGTTAACGCAGAAAAGATCTTAGCTTTCACGGCACCACAAATGATCGACACAGACCTCTTCATGAGTTACTTCGATTGTGTCAGGAGACTCTGGCGGGATAGGGGAATTCAAGATGCTTACGACAGAAGGAGAGAATTTCAGCTGGTAAGATTATGCATTCCATTTTTATTGATGTCATTTGTGCGAAGTTAATTTGTAGATCGTGAATTTCAGGTTAATACCCTGGCTAAAAGAACGCGGCTTCTGCAAGCCACCACAAACAATGTATTATGCATAACCCATAACTCTCTGATTTCAACAATGCTGGCCATGAAGGAAATTAACGCCGTATATATTGTATTTTTTCAATAGCACACACACTTAGGCTATTTTACTATACCGTGCACTGTTTTTTACATCAGCTGTCAGTGTCATACGCAATAGTAATGGCTAAACTGAAAGAAATGTGGTGAAATACACAATCAAGGTTGGTTCACCAACTTAATGATATCGAGACCGATACAATTCAGCAAATCGCATCTGATGGTAGTCCACGCTTTGTTCTTTACTTTATAAGCTCAATTGTTAGGTGAGACCTTTCAGAACAGGAGACTTTTACGTCCTACCGTCAAATTAACTTGCACATCGAACTTCTAATTTGTATCATGTAGTTTAATAGACAATGTGTACGTGGAAATGTTAGTTTTGTTAAAGAACAAACGATCGGTCATGGGTAGGTTGAAATTTACATTCTTTCAGGCATGTTTGTAATCATTCCTTTTCTTTTTCCAGGGCGATTCTTCCAAGTATTTCCTTGACCATTTGCATCGGATTGGTCGTCCGGTAAGTTCTCTCTTTCCCTAATTTGCTATTTCTTCTCACATGGAATCGAAAAGAACCTTCAATCGAGGTCGCCATTTCAAGCGAAACTGTAATTGTAAACATGCCGAAATCTCTGTACTCGGTGCTCATTTCATCAAATATGTCAACGTCAAATTCAATTTCCCGTATTACTTTCCAGAGTAAATATTCTTCTCTAAACAGAATCCAGTTTTCCCTTGCCTCAAAGTCGGAGAACGCTGTCAACGATTGGAATAGCAATAACAAAAAGTGAGCCCAATAAATTTCGAAGCTGTCTTTAATCCCAAGCCGAATAAAAACCTTGTGCGTCATTTTAGTTTAATCGACTGCCCTTTTATTGCTCATGCTCCTGTTTTACGTTTGCGATTAAACAACTCGAAAATTGGTTGTAAAATACATGTTTCGTTTTCATGTTTGGATTTACAATAATTTGAGAGTTTACAATAACGTGATTTGTCTGAGCAGTTAGTTAATTTAGTAAAGCTCTCAAGAGTAAAGAAGCTCCAGTTTAGAAGCACGCCCAAAATTTCCCTTCTGTTTTTTCTGTTCATATGCACTTTAAAAATCGTTTCTGGTGTTAAAACCTGGTCAGTTTTTTGAGGTAATATTTTCTCTGTCCACCTTTGTTAAGTGATTTACATTGAGTGCCTAAAGTGGCTATAGAAAGTTATTTGTTATAAACACACACTTCAAATTTGTGGGAGTGAAACAGAGGTACTTCTAATGGCAGTCCTGAAGGGGTCTGTTTTGCAGTCATTGAAGATTTGACAGAAAATTAAGTTTTTCTTTAGATACTATCTGTTTAAAAACAGATATATATTAGAACTACATATAGACCAAAAAGTGGTAATTTCTCTCATAAAGGACACTTATTCAAACCCTTTTAGCTTTTTTGTTTTTCCCTTTCTTTTTTTAAAGATAGCTTATATCTCATCTGCACATCCTCTGAAGTTAACCTAAAATATTAAACTTCTGTACCTCCTGATTCCAGAAAAGAATCTTCAATCTCAAAGGGAAATATTTTACTCTGAAGATTGTTGTTCAGTGCATGTTTGCAATGGAGCTTGAACCGCACTACTGAAGATTGTTGTTCAGTGCATGTTTGCAATGGAGCTTGAACCGCACTACACAGATCAAATTTGATTATTCCAGGGTATTATTTGATTCTATTTGTATTTACCAAAGTTATCCCCAACCCACTGTCCAGTTTGTTTAGGTGTAAGAAGAAATTCCAACCTTGTAATGATTACAGTTAGTACTTCAGAGGAAGTATATTCTTTCAATTTTGGAGAAAAATCAACAAATCAATCAGTTATAATAAAGCTGAAGGAATAATTAGAATGTCTTCTCTAGGGCTTCATGAATATCAGCTAGGACACTTTCTGGATCAGGCCCTCAAACAGTTTTTAGCTCTGACATTTGATGAAAAATTTAGCCAAAATCAGTGGTAGTTTGCCCATCCCAATGGTTCATTAAGAAACTGTACGGCCTGAGTTCCATGGCCAGATGTCCTCTATCTTCAGGCCACAAGTATATACCTAGGAATGTGGTACAAGTCTGAGATACTAGGAGCTTGAATTTTTTAGGGCAACATTTTGGATCATGCCATTCTTGGGTGAATTTGTTTTGTGTTGAGCAATTTTAGTAAGCAAACAGTTTTGTCAGTTGTTATTAGCTTGTGGGTGTTACACAGGGGAAAATATTGCAGGGAGATAATTATTTTTGCCATCTTGAATTAGCTGTTCTTCCATACTAGTTAAAACAATTTTTGTATGAAAAGATGAACAATTATCAGTTGTCATTAGCTCATTTCCATACATGTTATTTGTGAAAATTAACTGGAACTGACGAGAATGTTTACAGAGATAAAAGTTGAAATCTTACAGGATTGACTATATAACCAAATGGCCATCATTTCATTTTTTTCGAAATTACAGCCATCATGACTTCTTGTGTAAACACTTTTTAAGAAAGATTAGTCATGTAGTGTTTGAACTGTGAACTATGCCCATTTATTCTGAAAAGTGCCATGTTGGCTTTGTTATGCAAGAACATTTCTCTATGAAAGCTTATCATACTCAAATTCTTTTTTAAGTAAAAGAGTTGTTTTGTCAAATGTAAGTACCTCTTCCTAACCTAGGTCAAGGTCTGTACTGTAAGTTATAGACCAAGTTTTTTCTGCTTGGTTTTATGGCTCAAGTGTGAAAGTTGTGGGCCATAAATCTGAGCAGAAAATACAAGGTTCTGTAACTTACACTACAGACAGAGAAAACCAGGTCAGTAAGATATATATTTTATTCATGGATTAAAACAGAGAGGAAAGAATTCAGTTAAAACAAGCTTTTGAATCAAGTGGACCATACAGTGAATCATGGCCTGCTAAATTGACCAATCATTATGTACACAAACCAACTGAGAGATGTAATAATCAATCTTACTCATCTTTTCTCCTTTTCCAAAGGATTACATGCCCTCAAAACAAGATGTCCTTCATGCAAGAAAAGCAACAAAAGGTATTGTAGAGCATGAGTTTATGATCAAGGGAATCCCTTTCAAAATGGTAGATGTAGGTGGTCAAAGATCACAAAGAGCCAAGTGGTTTCAGTGCTTTGATGAGGTAACATCCATCCTTTTCCTGGTATCGTCAAGTGCTTTTGACCAGGTTCTAATGGAAGACAGAACAACGAATCGTCTGGTGGAGTCCTGCAACATATTTGAGACTATAGTCAACAATAAGTTCTTTGCCAATGTTTCTATCATCCTCTTTCTCAACAAGACAGATCTTTTAATGGAAAAGATCAAATATGCAAACATTAAAGACTACTTCCCAGCTTTTATAGGTGATCAAAGGAAACTGGAAGATGTTCAGAACTTTATTTTACAAATGTTTGATAGCAAGCGACGAGAGAGGTCTAAAGCTCTCTTTCATCACTTCACGACAGCCATCGACACAGAAAATATCAAGTTTGTTTTCCATGCAGTGAAAGACACTATATTACAGGAGAATTTGAAGTCTTTGATGCTGCAGTAACTCAGAAGTGCAAAGTATATTGCCACATGATGTTTTCAAGAAATTTCAATTAAAAGGGTTTTGCAAGACGTACTAAAGGTTAACAACGTACACTACAAAGACAGGAGTGTAGTTATTCATTTCTCATTTTGCCACTAGGAGTGCCAACACAAAGACAGTCCAATTACTGGCCATATCTTTGAGAATGTTTATTTACAGAAGAAAGCTTAATTGCTAAAGCATACATAACAATAAAAGCCTCTAACTTGTAAATCTTCCAAAAGGTAGCTTTTTGTACTTTTTTCTTAGGGTAATTTGAAAATATCCTGGTTCTGAACTGGTCAGTGTTATCTACTCGATTATGAGTTTTTCTAATCTATTGTGTAAAGTCTATATATTATAGTCTGTGATCATTGATTTTTTGAAAGAAAGGGTCATATTCTTCATTTATATGCTGGCTATGACCAATTTTTTTATAATGGTAATGATAGTACAATTTAAAGTGTTTTGATTAAAGTTTGAATGTTGTAACTTATGGAAGTTCTTTCAAAGAACTGAGACTGGCTAGAGTGTCAATGTCTCACTTTATTACGGTCAGTTTTGAAACACACTTGCAAATATTGTAAAAATCTGGATGCTGCTAAGTCGAAGAAAACTATTTTGTAACTGAATTAGAGAATTATCTTTTTGATTTATTATACTAAGTGCGTTAAGTGATGTGATGAACAAGAATAACTTGCCACTGCCAAGCTGTGGTTAATTATTGAGGTAATTTTATTTTCATATTTTCCAACTGAAGTGCCTGACTCTGTTGCAACTGTCTAAGATTAGGATTTGTATACCATTCTTTGTTTTCTCAGAAAATCTTTGGGTGAAGTTTTCTTTTTTCGGTGTTCTTGCCCCTTTTTAATCATTTTTGCCATGAACAGTTGACCTTAAAAATGCAATGTTTTTGCAAGGATTTTTTTCTATTATTTATCTCTGTTTCTCCACTTTTCTTTAATGCACTATCATCATCACTTACATACAGAATTTGAAGCAGGAATAACATGATGCAAAAAGTGGCAGTGAGGGATGGCATTCCACATGCATGATACAAAATGGCTACAATTTGAATTCACTTTATTTGTCCATGGGTTTTAATAGAAGCTAGGTACTGGTGGTTTACAGTGTCCCTTTAAGATTTTTCTCTGCTGTCTGTTTAACCTGCAAGCAGGATAAACACCCACCTATGGTATCACCAGCTGCTGCTCATGGAAAAAGTTATTGAGACCCCCATTTGTTTAAATTTATTTAGCAAGGAGAGCTTTCATTTGCTATAAAAGTAAAATAATTGCAAATTAATCGTGCACTGTGTGTCCTTATATAAACCTGAGTTGAGAACAATTTATCATTATAGTTCTAATTAAACTATAGCAGTAACTGGGAATGAACTTTGAATTTCTTTTAAGAATAAAAATGACAAACTTTAGCTTCTTATATTTTAAGATTGTGGAGCATTAGTAGTAACAACAGGTCGTAGATAGAAAGTACAAGATTAATAAAAAAAATTGACTTGTGTAGTAAGTGTACGTTGTTTTGTGCTGGTTGTAAGCATCCTCATGTGTAGAAACATATTGTAAAGGGCACTTTCCATAATGTAGGAGAGGTCTTATGGAAGAATTGTCAAAGTAACAGTTCTTCATATGCAAAATCCCAACAATTTAATCCTTTACACCTGAACATCAGTTTGCATATTCTCCATACTGTTCTCTATACATTTCGTAAGGGGCTGACAAGGACAATTTGTTTAACAATTAAGCACCTCTGGTTATTGATCATTTCCTTTACTCTTGAGTCAGGGGTGACATTGTAAGGAAAAATTACATGCTAGTGACTCAAAGGGGTCAAATTCATAATGATCGTCATAAATTTAGGACAAGTTCTTGAAAATTACTACTAAGAAAGTTTGAGAAGTCTGAATTTGATATTCCGAGTAGGTCAACAGTCTAAACCTCTGCAGAGGGTTATCTTCTGTTCTTGATTTCAACAATTCTTTAAATTACTCTAGGAAGTGACTGTACAATATGTACAATAACATATATATTTTAACTGTTCTGTGCAGATTTAGAGCAACAAATGAATCCATAGGAACAACTCTAAAAGATGGTACATGAGACTACACCATTTCAAATATGCATTTATTGCATATTAGGGGTTTCAAAATTTGCAGACTTACAGATTGAAATTCTTTGATGCCATGCTTTTTTCAGTCTATTAAGAGTACATCACTTATGGTTGATACTAATTTTTTCAAATTTAGTCTTAACAGAGTGCATTTTTAGAAAAAGCAAAATTCTTGTTTGGATCAAGATTAAAAGGTAATTTGCAGATCACCAAAGGTCACTCAATTCTGTGTCTGTTATGGGAGGATGTTGATCAGTAGTAATTCATCAACTGAAGACAATGACATGCATTACTAAGAAGCATATCATTTGTTTTATAACCACCAAAGAAAAGTCCTCCACTGAAATGAAAAAACTTGGATCTTCACCTTCTCTTTGAGTTGTTAGCAAGTCCTCCACACTTACCCTCTCCCCCCATGGCTCATTAGGGCATTTACAGTGGATACTTTTTAAGGATAAACTACCTGCATTCACATGGAACACAACCTCCCCACTCCCCTCTAACACCAAAAGAACAATAATCAGTCCGTACCCTCTCCCCCCATGGCTCATTAGGGCATTTTCAGTGGATACTTTTTAAGGATAAACTACCTGCATTCACATGGAACACAACCTCCCCACTCCCCTCTAACACCAAAAGAACAATAATCAGTCCGTACCCTCTCCCCCCATGGCTCATTAGGGCATTTTCAGTGGATACTTTTTAAGGATAAACTACCTGCATTCACATGGAACACAACCCCCCCACTCCCCTCTAACACCAAAAGAACAATAATCAATCCATACCCTCTCCCCCCATGGCTCATTAGGGCATTTTCAGTGGATACTTTTTAAGGATAAACTACCTGCATTCACATGGAACACAACCTCCCCACTCCCCTCTAACGCCAAAAGAACAATAATCAGTCCTTACCCTCTCCCCCCATGGCTCATTAGGGCATTTTCAGTGGATACTTTTTAAGGATAAACTGCCTGCATTCACATGGAACACAACCTCCCCACTCCCCTCTAACACCAAAAGAGCAATAATCAGTCCTTGTTTTGTGCCAAACAAACCAGCTAAAAATTAAATGAAAGGACCAACCTAGCAGGATATATTTTGCTTTTGTTGCATTCCAAAACAAATGAATGCCAGCATGAAAATTACCGTGAAAGGAACAAAAAGAGGTGTGAGGGAGTGGAATTAACAAAAGACATAAATTTGCTCAGGAAAGCTTACTATACAGTCTTATTTCCCCTCTTTAGAACCCTTCAGAAACCTGGGACATAAACCCACGACACCAATCAATTACCACCCTTTAAAAGAAGTAACACTCTAGAAACATGACTTGAAACTGGACTGAATGATATCATCATTATGAATGAAATCTACAAAATCCGCACCGACATGACTGAATTTTTTCATAAATAAATTACTAATAATGGTGATAATTACTGGTAGATGAAAAACAGAAAACTGTCCCACAACAATTTCATCACAAATATTCCATACATCAGTATTCCCAAAAAAAATCCTCACCAACTAGACTAATTCTTCATAAATAAATCATTATAGTGATGAATGGTGATAATTACTGTGACATGAAAATTATACAACCATCAGGAAACAATTTCATGGCATAAATGTTCCATGCATTAAATGCATAATAAATAAACAGGTTTACCAATATGACTGACAAAAATATACATCCTTAAATAATAAGAACTATAAACATCAAATGCTAAACCTTAGAAAGATTAGTATTTAAATATCACTTCTCACTCTGACTGATGAAAAAGATATTCAGTCAAAAACAATATTCGCAAGGGAGTGACTGTTGTTTCAATTGTTGGGTGATCGCCTTTGCTTGGTAGGTGCAACTTTGTTGTCACCATGGTGCTCACATATATCCACCTTCATTATAACAGACAGACAATATTTAGTTCACCCGACTTTGAATATAACAAAATAAGCCTGCAGAACTGGTAGGGTCTTAACCCTGTAACTCCCACCAGTGACTCAACAACATAATTTCTACTTACAGTATCTATACAATGTCAAGCAACTGGTGATGAGAATAAAAAAATATATTCACTCAAGGATTATCATTTGATGAAACATCAAATTCTCACAATAAACTCTAATAGAGAATGCATGGTGGACAGTAAGAAGAATTTCCACTAAAATATTGTGAGTTAAAGAGTTATGCCCTCACAATATCAATAATGGTAGCCAGCAGACAAGTGACAAGAGAAAACAAACTTAAAAGCAACAAAGTGTCATTTTCAAATACTGGTGACACCAAACTCATTCCTAATTTGAAAGAAAATGTTCAGCAGCTAAAAGGGAAAATTGTTGACCAGTCCTGGGATGGTAGAGGTTTTAATTGTTACAAAATATAGAGTTTCTGAGGAGAGAATTAGTTTTCTTTGTATCCATATTATTAAAGACTGTCATGGGGAGAGGAGGGGGTATTTACTGCTAGATGTTTAAGCTTAGTGGGTAGGGAATGACTCCTAACAGTGCATTGGTAGCTCAAGGCTCAAAATAATTCCATGGCTGGCACTGGTCAAGTTGTCCAATCAAACCTAGTTTTGCTGACACAAACTATAACTCCTCACCCTTAATAAAAAAAGCAGCATTGAACTCGGTGAAGGAAAAGCCATATGGCTGTATTTGAAAGCTGAACTTAGCTCAGATAAACTGTTCAGCCATCCAAGGAGTTGACTTGACAAAACTGATCTTTAACAGCACATTATCTGTTGACTGGCCATTATTTCAAGCTCAGTAGCTGTAAGAGTATGGGCATTTATTCAGGGAAATATACTACAAGTGACTCCTCCCTTCTTAATTCCTCAGCATCCTTAGGAGATGTAAGGTAAAAATCTGTAAAACACCAAACTTTGTTGAGTTAAACAACCTCCAACTATACTTTCTATACTGTTTATGAAAACCTTCAATAAAACTGAAATCCACACATGCAGTTCTTTTTACTTAAAATACCATAATACATTAAAATGCAGGAAAAAACAATATTTACCATTAAATAGTAACCAAGTTATATTGATCACTTTAAATATCAACTTGTGACAACAGTCGAAAGTTATGTCCTGACAAAACAGGTTTTAATCTGATTGTGACCGTTCCACTGCTGTATAATTCTCCAAGATTTCTTTAAGGGATGGAAAAAAGTAATGAACTATCCCTTGAAACTTTTGAACAAAGCTGTAACCTATGGCTGCCGAACTCCAGGTGAAGATAAGAAAGGCTGTAATGCAGACTGACACAAAGAAGACAAAAAATATGACTGCACTGAGCATAGAGACTGCAATCATCAACAGTGTGCCTTCGACCATTGCAAACCCAAGCATAGTAAAGAGGAAACTGTATAGCACAAATGAAGAAAACAGCACTATGGGTAATGCTGAAAGTCCCATGAAGATTGCAATAAATAAGGTGGCAATAGGGTATTCTATGACAAAAGATAAAACTGGTGCCAATATATTGCCAAGGTTTGTATCCTTCCACTTGTGAAGGATGCGTAGGCTTAAATCCCCTTGCCTGTTGACTTCTTGGGCCATTTCTTCCCTGAGAATGGAAAACATTCAAATTGTGAATAAAATATGACAGAGTCTGTATATTGCTATTTCTAGAGTTTGTCATTAGCTAACAGCTAATACATAAGCTTACACTAACAACTTAAGATAAGACATCTTGTTCAGTTGATCACTTTTTTTGTCATTGTCCTATTCCATTTCATCAACCTCTTTTATCCCATACTTTTCCTGAGAATGCCAGATTGACATACAGTGTTCCTTTACTTCAGCCAAAGGTTCGTTACCAACCTACTTACTATTGCATTACTGAAATAGCTTGGATATTCTCATATGTACTCTTTGAGAGGGAGAAATAGACAAGACAGTAGGGAGGCAGAATAATGAAAAGGCAGATCACTGATTATGTAACCATGCAAACATTTCCCATAAAGCCACCCTGGGTCTCATCAGTTAAGGATCAGACCTCTTTTTTGGACAGTGTACATACTGAGATTTACACCAAGAAATACTATCATTTGTGTCTCTGATTATATGTACAATTATGTATTTCACAGTTGTTTGCTTCCAATCTTTGAAATATGTGGGTCAGTAAGAAAAAATCTCAGCATGTATGAAATAAAAGCATCATACCATGGAAAGTGCTTGAAAGATTGTTCATGGTTATTCACATGTTGCAATGCATAAATAAACTCACTCTTTCCATGTGATCACTTCTTTGTTGTGCTCGCTCATTCATTTTATCTTTTCTATACATCGCATCTTGTGAATAAAATCGTTCAAGCTAGGAGTTAACGTGTTAGCACCTCTACAGAGCTTCCCTTTGGGACATAGTGCTTTAGTTTGCATGAAATGCAATGCTGTGGAAAAATTGTCATGGAGCTCTGTCATCATATTGTCTGACACTATCAAGGCTGAAGAAGCCTGCACAGTTACCTCAGGAGATTTCGTGTCTCTCCCCACCTTGAAAATGTGCTAGCTTGATTGAAAACTCGCTAACGCACGTCGGTTAGTCATTTCCAAAGATCAAGCTTGATATAGGATCTTTTTCTATCCTCGAATGCACTATCGATCGCGTTTTTCAAATCCGTACATTTCTGTTTACCTTAAGTATTTGTATATAACTCATGCGAAAAAAAAAGAAACAAGCTTTTATGAAAAAGTCTCAGCTTTTTAGGACTCATTTAGTCATTACCGCGTGGCTGGAAGAGACGACATAATTTGCTAGGGCCAAGCTCAGTAACAAACCTTCAGTTGATACTAAGCTGAGGGGGTTTGAAAATAGACTTCGCAAGTTAAAAGCTTCAGTTTTTAAGAGGATTTATGAATAAGCTCAATCAGTTGGTAAGCACAAGTTGATAACAGCATTGTGTTTACGATTTGACGCAGGTGGCAAGAAGCTCATTATGTTCGGATCGATGATAAACTTACGAAAACTTTTATAATTGTATGGAACTGCAGGCAAAGCAGAGCTTGAAAACATTACTTACAGTTAAATGTTCCTTTTCCTTATGAGTCAATAACAAAAATTATCAGCAAAGAGGCATCTTTGCAGAGTAGAGAAGCAGTCATTGCAACCTTCCCTAGACAGATCACAAATTGTTTATTTAGTTGTTCGAAGCGAAAGATTGAAAGGAAACTGGGTATGAACGAGTTGAATTGTGGGAAGATGTAGGCCCTCGCCACATAATAGATAAGAGTAACCTTTGCACTTTGACATCCATGGAAACAACTTCGATTTCTTACATTTCGGCATTAAATATTAAAGAAAAAAAAATATGGCGAACACTGGGAAAGGTCAATCAACTTACAGCTTCCTTTGATGTTGCAAAGAAACTTGTGGCTGAACCCTTCTTAAAAATAACGGTAACAATAAGATCGGGAGCCCATTACCCATTACCCATTACCCATTATTAGTAATGGGCTCCTGGAAGATGTAAATCACGAAGATGCCTTCATCCACATGGTTTTCAGGAGGGTCCTCAAGATTAGAGATAAGAAATGAAATCAAGATCAACAACCTATTTTTGACAGTCACATGCTAAGAGCTTGATAATGTTTACATTCAAGGTTTTTTGCAGGTTTAACGGGAAGGATGGGAAGTAAGAGATACATTGTTAAAGTGAGTGATAAATAATGCTACAGTGTCTCACGCCCCTATCATATGATGATGTGTTTATGGGAATATGAACCAGTATCTCAAGAACAAGAACAACCATTGATCCAAAGCGGATTATACACCGGTCGGGCGGTCAGCTGAAAAAGTCCACCGGAGGAAGAATTCAACCACGGTTCGGGAGCACTTTGACAAAAGAATACAGGAAAAGGCCGCAACGTTTGTTTTGCCGTGACGCAACCAGTACAAAATGAAATGTTTATTTCTTAAGTTCCCCCCGGTGCACCAACATCAATTTTGTTTTCGCTCTTTTTTTTTTTTTGACTGGTACGACGAACTTCACCGAAAGAGAGGGACTACTTGTAGTCTATTCTGTATTGTTTTGAAGTAACTATGCACTTTTCGCAGCAATTCGTCGAGTAATGGTTGATGGCGACTGCGTCTTTCCCGCTTCAATAACGGAGGTTCGCACACACGTACTGTTTCATCGTTGGAAAATATCGATGTTGTAGTCGTCCTCGTTTCAGAAACTCGACGGTACCAAAAAACACCCAAACAAAAGTGAGAAATATTTCCTTTTATTTGTTTAAGTCTATCTTAGCATCAACATTTCACCCGCTGTACATGTTACCTTGATCAATTCTCTGGGAGCAAACTAAGTTAGAAATGAAATAACCAAACAAGACAAACGAAGCGGTCTTCTTTGCGTTTTGCCAAGTACAACCCAAGAACTCTCAGTCTAAAATTGCATTTTAAAGAAAACTTACTGCTATCTCTCTATGAAGATAAACATTTCTACGTTTAAAATAACACAATATTCACATTCCACTGCTTTAACCCAAAAATAACTCACAGTAGTACAGTACTTTGACTAAGTTAAAAATGCCATGAATTATAAACCCCTGTTACTAAAACAGAAAAATGACACAAAAAGGTGCTCTAAACACGTCAAGCACTCTTCCAGACTTATCAAACTCCCAGAGCCTAGAAATATCCTGGATTCCTCATCAAGAGGTGAAAATATTACTAATAAATTAGGAAAAATGGTGATTTTCAACAATTATCTCATAATAAATACTATTTTAACTTAAGTGTTTACCCTGTCATGTAACGAAGACCAGGCGAAAGGTTCTGTGATAAACAAGGCTTGAATACGTTTCTGCGAGCGCTGTCTAAATGGGAATATAACCTGGGGAGGCTTTGAAAAATATCTTCATGCAAAACCGACTTGGGAATAAATAGACTACTTTCATAGAGGGAGCCAGCTCTCCTATATCTTTCTTTTTTTTTTTTAATGTTTTTCTATGCATAGGTGTAATCTGGGTCAACACAAATCTCGTGCGTGGGCACAAACGCCTTGGCCATGACACAAATCCTAACTTCATCTTGACACCAACAAGCTGGAAAAAAGTGCTTAAACCAATGAACAAAAAGAAAACAACCGAATCAATCATAGCTCAACGAAGTAAACCAACGAGCTAATTAGTAGAATTCACTGCACATTCGAGAGAAAATGCGCGTTCACCAAGTCAAGATCACATCGCAATTGACCTGGCGAGTAAAGGAGAGAGATTTCAAACTGACACTACTAGACTTTACCCTAAGTTTTCTACGGTGCTGCTATGTATCGAATCTATAGCCTGTAAATTTTGTTATAAAAACTATGCATAACTAAACACAAATTCGGTCCTTTTTTTCTTACTGTTAGATGTGAAAAGATTTAGTGACAAAAACTTCGTGTTTTCGCCTTCTCCAGTAAACTCTATAACAAAAACCAAAAAGCAGAACTAAAGTTAGGATTATCTATAGGAAAAATAAACCACATTAAGAAAAAACCAGCCAATAAATGAAAACGTAAACGATTAATACAAGACCACCAATATGTACCATATCATTCTTATCATACAAAGAGATTAAGTAATTCCGACATTATTTTCTTACTTCTTAATTATATTCCATTTGTTATATACCTAAATTTTCATACTAACATACATTAAAACTGTCCCTAGATTTACGACGGATTCACCCATCTTGCCGTTTACCAAAAGGAAGACGTCACGCTTTTTAAATAATAACTAGAGACAAATGCCGAAGAATCTTGAAACTTCTCGCTTTTCATGCCATTTTTAATCTGACACTCGCAGTTTTCAACTAGAAGCCATTTTCTGCGGCTTTTGCATTTAAGAAAATCTAAGAAATTTCGGCATCTCTTCGCTTTTAACAACCCTGTTTTGTGCGCTTTTGGTTAACTATTTCCGCTTAATCTCAATTTGGCCGCTTTAGTTTTTTAATCTACTGTGTTTTATTTTGAACGCTTAAATTGGCCTAGTGCTGCAAACATACGAATACTCCTCTCCGATTTTCGCAGTAATAACGGTAAGCACCAATTGAGGAAAACTGTAAAGGTAAACTACCTTTGGCATTGCTTTAAAACTCTGAGGGTCAAGACATTGGCAAAATAAACCATAAGAGCTCGAAGCAACTACGAGTAACCGGTAAAAAGCGCGGGAATCATGCCATAGTTCTCGCGCTAAGCGGGGAGAGAACACAGTTACCACATTCCAATGTGTTGTGGCCTTATTTGGTTGCTGTAGTACGTGGCACGAGTTTTTCCTTGGATAATCTCGAACAATCAGTGCCACATGGCTCCACAGGAGTGAGTGCTCGTCTCAAGTGATTCAAATTCAGACACTTGTGAAGTTGCCTGTTGCAGACGCCGCGATAGCTTCGGCGCGTAGTCTGAGGTACAACTTTCCTCGTTTCCACGGATTTTGAAGGTGTAGTGGCTTAAAATCGTCCCTAAAACATTTCTCTTGTCCACCGATTACTGCAACTAAACACAAGTCTTTTATTTTCTTATCAGAGAGATTGTGCCAATAGGAAGATTTATCTCTGTCTTGGCATTTCTTGTGCAGCTGTTGCACAACCATCTTGACTACTTCATCTGCTCTTGTTGCAGGCGTTATATGAAGCTAAGCGACGAAACATACAATAAACAAAAAGAAACATTAAAGATTGTTCAACTTGTTGACAGGATATTATCGTGTGGCCGATACATAAGGGATAGCAAACCATGCAGTACCCATCAAAAACGAAATAGAGCGATGTTCTCGATAGAAAACTGAAATGTGGATTCTATTTTGCTTCGCTAAGTCGAGTACAACACAAAGTTAACAATCTTAAAGAAACTGTTGTTTACACTGAACAATTCTTGTACGCATCCGAAGTGTCTCGCATTCTTATTTCAAGTAAAATCTTAAAAATTACAGGAACGTCATTGGATCGCGTCAAACCAATTCAGTATTCGAGAGAGGTTTAAAACCACGTTTGGGTCAACAGGAAACAGTGCTGCTGAAACGTTTCTTTGAATCTCTTTTGCTGTCTCCCTTTTGTTTTGAAGAGGAGATGATCTCTATTTATCTGATTCCTGACTCTATTTGCGAATTAGAAGACATTATGGGAGATCATAGTCTGACTCCTAGCCTTTTAATCGTGCATTCGATTCTGATTATCAAGTAGTCTACCAGTAGTACCGTGACTGTGGCTCCGGGAGGTAAACTTGTTTCTCCTGCTGTATGAATTTGAACCACTCCCTCTCTGGGGCTACTGCTTGCTGAGGAATCTGACAAAAGATAAACCACCAAATATGAAAATACAGCCGAATCTCTTAACAACCACTCTGAGGATGGAGGAAAGTGGTCGTAGAAGAGACGTGGCCGTTACAGAGAGGCAGGGACTACTACATCGATAAAAGGTGGTTAGTATAACATACAATACGTAACAGAATCAAACTATATCAATGAGATTTTTCCAGAAATTGATGCAAAAAAAGACAATCTACAGAAAACAAAAGTGTAAATTAGAACGAGTCTTTAAGTTTGTGGTCGTTCGCATTTATTTTTATAGACTTGCTACTGCCTCTTCGGTGAAATAACGCTGTCAAGGATTGTCCGCTACGGTGAGCTGTCACGTGTTTCGCCACATCGTTTGTCAGTTGATGATCAACTAGCTGTTGTTGAAATGTTATTGTTGGCTTCTGGGACGCGCTTCAGTGGCCGTTGCCGTTTTGAGGAGGGGAACGTCGACGAGAGGTCAAAGTAAGGGTGAATGTATAAACCGTCCGCCGGAACCGACAGATAAAAAAAATTAATTAAATAGAAAAAATGTTTTACCCGTTGTGGAAAAGTGACAGTTTGGATTTCGTTCCTATTCAGGAAACCTTAAAGATATTCTACACTTTTGTTTCGAACACGTTCAAGACCAGATACTCACTATGTCCATTGCAGAGGACTTTCCCTTTCAAATCAGACGAACAAACACAGCACTGGCCGTCCGGGTGAAAAACTGAGTACTGAAACACCTCGACCAATGGTATTCCACCTCGAATTTGACGATCCCTCGCGTAATGCAGGGCATCCAATATCCAACGCATTCCTTGCCACGTTTCGTCAAGTTCCTTTACAAGCAAAAAGAACAATTTCAAACCAAACTTCGTCACAGGCTTCTTTGCTGTCAAAGCTCATTGAACTAATGACGTGGGTAATCAATCAAATGTCGATTGGTTCCTTGCAGTAAATCCCTTGATAGTCCCTTGAACCAATCATCGACAAAGTTTCACCTTATGTGACCAAGGCACCGTGCGCTTTCCCACGCCTGGCACACGCCTGCATTTCTATAGTACCTGCATTATCGACTTTCTTACGTAGTTGCAATTTTTTCTCTTTACATAAAACTTGTTAACTTACTCGCTGAAAATCCAACAGCTGCTCTTGTCGTGCTTTTGCTAACTGTAACTCAGGTGATGAAAACGCCTATTTGAAAAAAAAAAAAAAAGAAAGAAAGACAAAAATGGTATTGAAGATGTTCGTAAATAAAACATACGTGTGCGCCACGTGAGGAGTTTTCTGTAGCAGAAGTAGGATATTAGAACTGGTATTTTCTTCTAACACACCACAGGTAAATTTGCTAAGCGGAATAAACAAGATTAACGACAACTTGCAATTTTTTGATTAGATGGGTTGAAGGAAACGCCCAGTAATGGCAGAAGTAATAAAAAGAACTGCTCCTATAGACTGATTGACCCTTATCCAGACTACAGCGCAGTGTGAGGAAAACACTTTACACCCATTTCACTCAGCCAATTGGAAATAGCACTTACAGTTACTTTGAAAACACAAATAAAGTTTGTAGTCGTATGACATACAAAGAAGAGTAATACTCTTGTCTTTCAAGGAACACAACAAGCCACTTTACCTCTCTGAGTGACTGCTGGGAGATGACAGAGTCCATATCGAGAACGGACGAGAGACGAGAATAATGGCAAATAAACTCTTGCTGATACGTGTACATGTGAACTGAAACATAAACGGAACATGTCTTTAGCTAATGCCACGACATCAAGCGTTTTCCGTGGCCATATCTACATGTCGTCATTACAGCTACATGTGAACCATGCTTGTGTCACTACATGATTTCTTCTGGTGATCCATAGACGATATGTTAGCTACAGCAAGCTAATGAGGCCGAAACAGCTATTCATGGCTGGTAATGATACCTGGTAACGTTATAGCACACCATATAACAGTCAACCGACCATGATAACTAGTGCGTTCTTTCGCGGTCGGTGACGTCCATCTATTCCGTCCTAGTAACATTCGTTTCGAGTCTCTTAATAAAACGGAAAGGAAAAGGCTGTGTGTAATGGGATAAAAGGATCGCTACTGAGATATGTCTCCACCTCAGATTTTCCACACCAAAATGTTTTGATAAACACGTTGGAATAAGCGGCTCAAAAAAAGAAAAAAAACACATCTTTGGCAAATGTAATTCCTCCTATGCTACAGCCAAAGATGCCCGTCTTTACAAAATCTCAGAAATTCACCAGTTTACAACCCAAGTCTTGTACTTACTCATTTCAAAGGTCTGCACAGGTAGGGAGATATAGCCTTTGTGACGTGAAAGCGAATCCACTTGACCTGGAGCACTACAGACTTCCTCAGGGGGTGGGAATACAATGATAAACGAAACATTTTCGTCCAATTCAACAACCTCTCGGTCATATATTCTATGAAGTTTCGAAGCCTGGTAAGAAAGTACAGATCATGAGAGGCAAAATTAAAATGCTTCAAAACAAAATAGGACTACAATAGCATTGACTCGGAACGAATTGACCAACACGACTAGAGTTATCGATGGCGAAACTAAGAGGATGTCTTGAAAGGGTTATTGAGGATTCGAGTTCCCGCCGGTGAAGATAAAATAAATATATGACGGAATTCCATGAAAAATCCGGATCGTTGTCAGTGTCTGAACAACTGCGCACCTACCCCTCCCCTAACCCAACAGTATGCTAACTTATCATCAGTTGACTTTTGACCGTGAGGGTTGGAGTCATTGGGAGTCGGCCGTGGTTGATGGGAGACAAGACCAGAACCACGACTAACCAGCTCGTCCTGATTGAAGACAACTACTCCTTACTTTAGGTTCTGACAATAAAACCAGAGAAAACAGATTTGCAGAGATCTAAAAGAGTACCTCTTCACTAATGCCTACTTTCTCCATCAAAGTTTCGGCAGCTTTGGCCACCAGTACTTGAAATTCGTGTGCAGTCTTGGATGGCTCTGAGCCGTGAGTCCCCTCCTAAACACACAACCAGCAGTTCATGAGCCACATACAGAATTACAGACAGCTACACTGCTCGATAGCAACGCTGTGGTTCAACTGATTTACACAGATTTTCAAACCATGTGAATCAACACGAAACAAAGTCACTCATCTGCATGGCGCTGAGAACATGAATTGATATAGCAGGCCCTCGTTATTAGGCCTTTGGCACGAGCATTTCTGAGCCCGCAAGAGAATACGAGTCCTTGAGCAACGCTAGCCGACGAGAAATCTGCAAAGCGTCTAGTATTGTTGTTGCAAGACCCGACTCGACCCAGATCATCTCGCGGGCAGAGAAACGCGCTTCGTAGGACCCGCTCGCAGGCGAATTGACAGCATGAAATCCAGTACTAATTTTGATCGTTTACGTGTGGCGACAGACCAATTGAGCACATTCAAGAGGAAGAAAAAAGAAAAAGAAACTGTGACAATCTGAAATTCTATTCTGTTTGAAAAAATACTCAACAAAAGCTAAAAAATGGCAACTTTTGTCACAACCTCGACAGCAAAATTGTACGTTCTTATGAAAACGACAATGCACGAAACAAACAAGAGACAAAATTATTGTTTAAAAGTGTAAACAACTCACCCTTAGAGTGTCCAGTGTTTGAAGCCATTGCCACTCCTCTCTACAGTCGAAAACACAGTAAAATGAATGAACTATCTAACAAAGAGCGCCAATAATTTCATTACTGGCGCTTCGGGACGAGCATTTCTTCGCCTCAGGGAAAGTCTGAGTGCCAGACCCCGGCAAACCTCTCCCTGACTCGTCTCCAATCTTCCCGCGGGCGGTGAAACGCGCGCTCTGCAGCGCCAATAGAGAGATTTAGCACCGCGTTTAAGGGAAGAGTGAATGACAAGAGGTTACCACGTGACCATTTTTCCCTGCCATTTTCGCGTTTGCCAATTTCGCTTTGCCGTTCCTACGTGAAAAAAAAAAAAACCCTCTTTCGCGTTTACCGTATAAGTAAGAGTTTTCTTCACTTTTTCTCTCACAGAGTTGAAGTTAATTGCCGGTAAAAGGACACCAAAAACTTTGTAAGTAATACAAAGGCGCCTTCAAATCCCCCATGAGCTCATGCGAAGCTAAAGCAACAAGGTTCACGCTATTTTACTTGAAACGTGAAAGGGCAAGCTGACGTTTGCCGTTTCACGTAAACGCGGTGCTCAAGGGCCTGCCTGCAAGCAAAAAACACTTGCTCAGTTCACAAAACGACAACATGACCGATAGGAGAAATACGGCGTCTCGATACAATAATCGTCAAATGAGCGAGATTTCTAAAGTTTCCACTCACCTAGACACATTGGGGTTATCTCGTATTTTGACGTGCGGTAGAACGTTGGGGCAGTTCTCCTGAACCACAACATGAATAGCGTCTACAAAAGTTCTGAGCTTCAGATAACCGATGTACAAACCCCTACAAAGAAAACAAAATAAACATAAACGGTTGTATTTCACTGGGCCTTGAAATGTCATTTGTTCATTCATCCACGATCAAAAAAACAATTGAATGAAAAAACGAAAAGCAACTCGACATAACTCTTACCTTTCAAGGTTCTTTTTACTGTTTTCATAATAATGGATTTTCTCCTAAAAGAACAAGGAATCCAAAATTTGTCTGTTAAAAAGTTAGACCTTTAAGTCGGTGAAGAGGCAGTATATCAAAATCACTTTAGAAACAACAATGCAATAACAAGGATGCCTAATCATCATTGAAACAGCCTCCTTTACTCTTTGACCCTCAAGAGTGACCAGCATCTAATTTCTCCTTACAATCTCACCCCTGAATCAAACATTAAGGTCAGGAGAATAAAGGAAATGATCACCAACTAGAGAGGCTATTCAAATTGTCTGCTAACCAGATTCCCCTTAAAGCACCTTACGAAACGCATAAAGAACAGTATGGAGAATATGCATGCTGGTGTTAGGGTGTAACTTGTACAGTATCTTTTGTCATGCAGACTTCTGTTCTTACCTGAATGGAGGAGACAAGCATCTCTGATGCAGTGAACAACTCATCCTGTAGCCCACCTTGCAGTGGAGGAGTCTGGATCCTCTTCTGAAGTTTACTGAACGATAACCACTTAAGAGACAGGATACGTGGCTTGAAGGAACTGCCATGCTGAATGACAGAGAAAAACAAAACAATACGAAGCAAGATATAGAATTTATTCCTCTCTAGGGAAAATGGGAATTAACTTACCCTGGACAGTGTTAAAAATATGAAGGCTTGTGGGGCCAGGTAAACCAGTGAAACAACTAATGTTTCCAAATGAATTATTACAGTGTTAAAAAGTCCCACAGGCGGAAGAACAAACCGCTTCTATACGAACGTTTCTTCGCCCGCAGGAACGCATGAGGCCTTGAACAAGGTGAGCTAGCTTTGATCATTATTAGTGCCAGATCTCCCGCAAACCTCTCCCCGGCTTGTTTCCAATCTTACTGCTGGCGGAGAAGCGGGCTTCCTACAGCGCTAATAATGATGACCTGCTCGAAGACTATATACAACAAGGGTACTGTGCCTGAACACACACATAAGCTAAAAATTGAGCTTTCCATTCTCTCTCTCTTTTTCTCGGCATCTTTCTTTATTTCGAACTGAACACTAGTTAGGAGTGCAAGTCAGATGATTAACTGTCGCTTACGGCTATTTGCCTTAATGGTTCTATACTTACAATTGCATGGTTGACGGCGACAATTACAGTGCTGCCGTTTCTATCTTTCACTGGTCTGTAATGTAGTCTGCCAAGATCTTGCTTGCCAAGGGCACCCTGAAAAATCAATTGGCCACCTTTCAATAACTCTGTATTGTTTGTAAATAAGGGATTAAAAACACCAGCCCGGGTCTCTCTAGCATGTCTTATTCCTTTGGCTGGGTTTGAGCTAAGGTCAGCCATTTCAAAAGGGACACAGTAGCTGCCAACTGTATGGTGGATATCCGTTTGTATGCTCTCCCTAAAAATATTTTTGGTCAAGTTAGGAACAACTACAGTTAAGTACAGAAAAAATCTCCTTGGAGTATGCCCGTTAACTTTGCTGTCCGTTACTAGGAATAAATTATTAATGACAGTCAGAGCTGACAATTACGACGAAGTTCCTTCGTCTGAAGAAAGTGTCACACGAGAATAAAACAAGGGCTAACACGCATGCTCACGAAAGGACGGGCTTATGTCTGGTACATTAGCTATTAATACTCGTTCACAAGAGGTTCAGGTAGTTAGGATTGATTCACCGAAGCTGTTGTGAAACACGCACACCATTCTACAGAAATCAACTAGAACATTTACTTGCAGAGTATCAGCAGCTTGAAGCAGTTTACATCTGAACAGCACTGAAGTTGATGAAGACTTTTTCTCTACTTCCTGTTTTAATTTTTTAACATCTTTCCAAGTGCAAGCCACCTAAAATGAAAGACAATTCATAATAATGAAGTTGCACTTCTTCAATTGAAACAAACTGACCCCCACCCCATTCTCCCTCTTCCGAACTAGCCCCACCCACCTCTCCCTTACAGATGTGGACTCTCTTCTAAGTTTCACTTTTAAAGAGAGCTTGCTTGCAGGCTAACGTCCATTTGGACAATCTTCTTCAACGCTAGAACTTTCGTCAATATGTAATAATTTGATAAACTTTTATGAATTCTAATATTATTATAAAGTAACAAGATAAGCAAGGGGAGCACCTTCATCAGCCAACAGAAATCTTGAAGGAATGTACTGGGATGGTTATCATCCACTTCAATAATTGGAATATTTTCGTCCAGGGTTACAAGAAGCTTCTCGTCATCAGTGAAGAGCAAAGAAGCCAGATATACCCCTCTGAGGAGAGAAAATAAGAAACCAAATTACCAGTCGGATTCATCAGTGTCTATCACTGGTGAGTTAGAGTAGTTTTTAATTGAGTAACAAAAGTGATCGGAGTCTTGCATTGGTTTTTGTTTCCTTCGCTCTGTGATTGGTCCAGAAATTCGCGCCATCCTCCCACCCAATCAGATGTAACAGTAAACTAATCAGTCGCCCGCGTTTTCCCGCGGTTTAGGCAGTTGAATTTTTTTACTTTTACTTGAGTTCTCATTGACTCTCAAAGGTATTTTTCTTTGTTCTGATTGACCTTTTGGGATTACTTTGGTTTTGGTTTTACGACACTCAATCGAAGAGTGCTCTAATACAAAGTTCCCACAACACAATATCAACATAACTCCTTATCACTACCTACGGAAAAGGGATAAATCATTATTTTTACCTTTTGAGATGTCTGGCAAATTTTGGGGCCGAGTGGAAGAGTAGATTTGTGTATTTTGTTAGACTCTTTTTCATTGCTGACTTACGACTTGTTCTCGGCGATGCACCAGCTTCGCATCCTGTAAAAGTGTACATTGGTAAGTCAACAAGCTGTTAGTATCATGAACATGTGGTGTTATTTGTCAATCTTTGCAGTAAAGCTTCTCTTTATCATTTCATTTTACCTGCTGAGTTGGTTTTTAGAGGAAATGAAAGAGCACAGATGCCTCATGTCGTACCTGTTTCGTTGCCATATGTGTTGCTCCGCGGTCTGTGCGAAAGTAATGGTCGCACTGGCGAGAATTCTTCATGGCTTTGCCACACTCGACTAAACAGATCATCTATGACATTGAGTCGCCCTTGGAAACGAGGTTTAGAGTCATCCACTTCGTGCCAAGCTGCAGAACAAACCACAGAAGTAAGAGACCTACAGAATATTTAAACCTTTATACCCTAACATCAACGTTTATATTCTCTATACTGTTCTCTATAAATTTCCTATGGCACTGACTAGGAAACTTTAGTTTGCAATCATTTCCCAATGTTTGATTCCGCGGTAATGACTTAGCGATACATTTGATGCTGGTCTCCCACAGGGGTTGTAGTTTTAATACAGACTGATACAGAACGTAGACTGCCATGTTTTTTTTTTCCCGGTTAATGGAGCAGATGAATATTCATTTCATCTGTTGGTATTCTTTGATTTGTATTGCGCTGTTGCTACTGTACTCGTTTTAGGACATTAGGAGACGATCAGCCTCATCTGAGATAACTTTGAAGATCTGGATTCTAGGTTTCAAATCTCGTTTGGACCTAAATTTCTCTTCAGGCCTTATTTGCACTGCTACATGAGTAGGTACGTATGATGCACGATCCTCGCAGTAGATAGCGCTATTTATGCAATGGCGAAAATCAGACCTGAAAAAAATCAGGCCTGTACGGGACTCGAACCACTGACCTCTGCGATACCAGTGCAGCGCTCTACCAATTGAGTTAACAAGCCAACTGGGAGCAGGCCGTTAAGTTGATTCGTAATAAACCCGTGAAAGTGATTAATGAGATACAATGAATATATGAAGATCATATATTTTGAACTGCGGTATTAGATACGTATGATGCACGATCCTCGCAGTAGATAGCGCTATTTATGCAATGGCGAAAATCAGACCTGAAAAAAATCAGGCCTGTACGGGACTCGAACCACTGACCTCTGCGATAC